CTTTGATAATTACGTACCGTGTAAAACGATATTAAAGGGATAGCGTTTCACGAGCGTAGCAGGTNNNGATAAGTAGGTTGCTACCCCATGAATTTATGCGAACTTCGTGAGCCACGTTCTTACTCGTTATTAATCGCGTGTACGTGTATTGCGCTTGGTGAATGATCGATCTGTCGGCCGATCATTGATCACCATAACCCATCCGTTCGATGATACGATTCGAGAAATCAGGCCTCGTTCCGGTTTTCTTTCAATGTTCCCGCGCTATCTGTTATCGATCACCTTGGCCAATTACGTGTATCGACACAATTTCTCGATAATGATGGCGGATATTGATTTTCAATAAGTAATACGAAAAACAATGAAAAATGCAAAGTGAAATAGAAAAGATAACTACTTGCATAATTATTGAGGTTAAGTAATTCTTTTTCACATCTTTTCTTGCAAATGTTGACGACCATCCCCATGACCCATATGTTGCTTAGAATCAAATCTGTTTCTCGACCACCCGGTATATAGATATGATTAACCTTTCAGCGCCGTTAGCTCGTTCGGGTTGTGTATTCGCTTCGATCAATGGTGCCACCGAGCGCAACACACGAATCGCAGAAACGAACATGGAAAAATCACGGCGATTATTCCGAGGATTATGTTAGGTCGTTGACTCCGCGAGCTCTTCCGGTAAATATCCTTCCTGATAGTGGCTGTGTGTAATCGATAGAATAATTCGACTGTGTGCTTCTCACGATGGTAAAATATTCATTCCCATAGCAATAAAATGTCCGCGCGTTAATAAGAAATAACAATTTAAGGGACGAGTTTTGTGAAAGGGTTAGCTGCGAGCAGATCGTTTTCAACAAGCTTTTCAAACCAGTATTCATTGGTTTTTTACTATTTGGGATACGAATAAGATACGTAATCGCCTATATATAGGAGTCGATTATCTATAAACGTAAGAAAGTAATTTCGCAATGCAATTAGAGTTGGAAATAATTATGCGAGAATTCAAAATTGAAATTGAACGTGTAACAGTTGAATGATAATCGGAAATAAGAATTTAAAGCATGCGAAATAAAAGAAAAGTGGGAAAAAAAAGGAATATCAATCAACTTTACGCATTCTAACCTTTACGAAAATTAATAAACAATATTTTGCCATGAAGAGAATATCACGTACGTATATGAGCAAACATATATATATATATATATATATATATATCTTCCTGAAAATTGCTTTTTAGCTTCTCTCTTCTTCCTCAGATCTTCACATTAGATTTCAAACACGCTTCTCGCATCGCCTTCTATCGTAATATCTACAATCTGCGCGCATTAAAATGATCTACAGGGATCGTAGAACCATACCTTACCGTTATTTCAACTTCAACCGAAATGTGTCACAGGCCCTTATTCTCAGTCCCCATTTCAATTACGTTAATCCACCTCGCTGTACAAACATTTATCGCACACTGTATTAAATCCACAATGGAATCGTTATCCTTAAACCCATCACGGGCTAAAACAAGATAAATCGTGCGATTTATTTCAACGGGGGGATCAAGGGTCAGCGTGTATCACAGCCTCGAAACTCGAAGCTCGCGTAGGTGCATCGTGCAAAGCGCTAAGCACAGATATTTCAATAGCTCGACCAGTAAACGAATATACACGGTCGTGTTGCCCACAGGCTTCGTTGCGGCACAGAAACCTTTCTCTCTCTCTCTCTCTCTCTCTCTCTCTCGTCTCCTCGAACGCATCTACGGTGCTACGTGTATCTATATACGTGTATATGCGATCAAGTGCGATTAATTGATGCAAGTAATGACGCGTTTAAACGATCGACGAGATGCATAGGATAATCAATCTGACGCCTCGCTTTTCAGAATCGTTCGCTTTTCGCTTCCTCAAAAATTGATGATGATGATGATGACTACGCGTGTTATCTGAATTTGTAGAAAATGTAGAAATTTATAATTATCGTATAATTTTAATGATATATATTTCTAACATTTCTAATTTATTATTTTATAAATATATATAT